CCGAAGCTTTGTGTGGCTTGCTAGCCACTGGAGCTCATCGACTGGACGTCGTTCGTCAGTCGGTCGCAGCTCGCCGGAAATTGAAGCATCCGCCATTGCCGCCTGGAAGCTACGCCGTCCATCATCCATCCGCAGGGAAGCTCGCCGCCGCAGAGAAGTTGCCCGCCGGAAGTCGTCGCTGGAATCGCCGGTCGCCTTGGTGCTCGCCGGTCTTCGTTCGTCGCTGGTCGCTGGAGGTGCGCTGAAGCTGGACGAAGACACTGTTCTCAACCTCGATCGTCTCGAAGGAGTACTGTACGAGGCTGTAATGCTTTGGACTTCTGGACTGCTGGAGGCAGTGTGTTGAGGTTCTGGACTATTGGGCTGCTTTGGGCCAGATCTAAAGCTATTGGACTTGTTGGTGCTATTGAAGTACTGGAGCTGCTGGATTACTGAACTGGAAGTGTTTTGGACTGCTGCTTTGCTGGGCCGAGGCTGCTGAACGGGCTGGAGACTGGACCTGGAGCTGGAACCACCCAACCGCCGGTCAACCGCCAGTCAATGCCGGTCAACCACTGGTCAACGCCGGTCAACGCCGGTCAACGGCAGTCAACCCCTCCAGAAAAATCCCAATTTTAATTAAAATTGGGTAGGTAAGGTCGAAACGCTCTCCTAGGGTTTCGCGAAGGTAAGTTTTCTGTAAACTTCCTATTTGTTATGTTCCGGTTTTAATTTAATTTAATTTATTCCCCCTCCCCGCGGGCCGCCGGTTGATTTAATCCCGGCCGCCAACCCCCCAGGTACGTTCTAAACCTTCTCCTTTGTGGTAGACTGTTTTAGTTAATTAATTAAATTGCTAAGTGTTATTTAATTTTAATTGTTATGCATAGGGGTGGTTTATTGGGTGGTAGGGGTAGAATTAATTAATTTTAATTTTTCTGCCCGGAATTGTTTAATTGCCAAAATGTCCATTTTTTGCTATGTGTTGCATGCTGCCCGGGGTTATTAAAGTGAATACTTTATAACCCGGGTTGGATTATTTTCTGTCATTTCTATCTGTTTAGCTTTGTGTTCCTTTGTGGTTGATACCATGGCTGCAAATCAGTATGGTATGCTTCCATTTAATGGAAAAACAGATTTTGATATTTGGAAACAGAAAATTAAGTGTGTTTTAATACAGCAAAAAGTTTTCAGAGCTGTCACTGGTATTTTCCTAGAATCAGAAGATAAGGCTAAGCAAATTGAAATGAACGAAACTGCTTGTTCTACTATTTACTTGAATCTGTCTGATTCTGTGCTTAGGAAAGTGGGTATTCTTGAGTCCGCTAAGGAGTTGTGGGAGAAATTGGATAGTCTCTATACTGATACCTCTTTGCCCGGGAAGTTGTTCTTACTAGAGAAATTCTTTAGGTTTAGGCTTGACCTGACTAAGGATATAGACGAGAACCTGGATGTGTTTAATAAACTGATACAGAATATCAAACAAGCAGGTGATAAACACATAGATGATTACACTCCCATAGTATTACTTAATGCCATTCCCGACTCTTATAATGATGTTAAGTCCGCTATTAAGTACGGTAGGGATGAGATTTCATTAGACATTGTAGTGAATGGGTTAAGGAGTAAGGAATTAGACCTGAAGCATGCTAGGGGTAGTGCTAGTCAGTCCAGGGACTCCGGTGAGGCTATGTTTGTTAGGGGTAGATCTAAGGGTAGGTCTAAGAATCCTAAGCAAAATAGTCAGGGTAAGAACGCTAGTCAGCCTGGGAGGAAGAGGAGCAAATCTAGGAAGAGAGTGTGTTACAATTGTGGTAACACTGGCCATTTCATTAAGGATTGCCCCCACCCTAAGAAGACCGAGCATGCTAGTGTAGCTGTTGATAAATGTGACCTTGGTGATATTTTGATGGTTTGTGACCATGTTAATTCTGTGAGAAATTCCCTGTCTGAGCATGAATGGTTGATTGACTCTGGTTGTACCTATCACATGTCCCCCTTTAGAGATTTATTTTCTACTTATGAATTATGTGATAGTGGCTACGTTTCCTTAGCTGATAATAAGAGATGCAATGTGCTTGGTGTTGGTGATATATGTCTGAAGTTTTCTTGTGGCTCTGTGTTTACCATTAAGAATGTGAGGCATGTCCCTGATTTGTGTCATAACTTGTTATCTGTTGCTGCTTTGGAGAGTAGTGGGTTACAGGGAAAATGGGGGAATGGTTGTATGAAAATCCTGAAAAACTCGCTTGTTTTGTTTAAAGCTGAGAAGGTGAATAACCTTTATGTGTGTCATGCTAAACCTTTTACTGAGTCTGTGAATGTTGTATGTTCTGATAAGACCTCTTTGTGGCATAATAGGCTAGGACATATGAGCAATAAGGGTTTAGATGTCATGCGTAGGGCTGGTTATTTTGGTAAGGACTCTGTGACTTCTGTGCCTTTCTGTGAATCTTGTGTGTTAGGCAAGCAGCATAGAGTCAGTTTTCCTCCTTCCTCTTACCCTAATCTGTCTAAGTGTTCGTCTGTGCTTGAATATGTTCATGCCGATGTTTGGGGTCCTGCCAGTGTTCCTACCCACGGGGGTAGGAAATATTTCCTTTCCATTATTGATGACTTCTCTAGGAAGGTGTGGGTTTGCCTTTTAGAACACAAGTCAGATGTGTTTGTGAGGTTTAGGGAGTGGAAAACCCTAGTTGAAAACCAAACTGGCAGGAAGGTTAAAACCCTTAGGACTGATAACGGGTTAGAGTTCTGTAATAAGGAGATGGATAAGCTGTGTGTGGATTGTGGGATAAAAAGGCACAAAACTGTGCCTTATACTCCCCAACAGAATGGGATAGCAGAGAGAATGAATAGGTCTCTGTTGGATAAGGTTAGAAGCATGTTAGCTACCTCTGGTTTGCCTAAGAAATTCTGGGGTGAAGCAGTCACTACTGCTGCCTATTTGGTTAATAGGTCCCCGTCTGTCCCTCTTGGTGGTAAGTGTCCTGAAACCGTCTTTACCGGTAAGCCTCTTGATCTGTCTAACCTTCGGGTGTTTGGTTGTGCAGCGTATGCACACCAACAGGGTGACAAGTTGGATCCTAGGTCTAAGAAGTGTGTCTTCCTAGGTTATCCAGAGGGGGTAAAGGGTTACAGGTTATGGGATAGGAACCAGGTAGGCTTTAAAGTGGTCCTTAGCAGAAATGTGGTGTTCAATGAAACTGATTTTCCTTGCTTGACCGAGTCTGTTTCTAATCCTGAGTCTAGGTCTGATAGTACTCCTTGTGAGGTGGAGTCTGTCCCTGTTGCTGCTAGTCCTTTATCTGTTGATCCTATTATTACTGATGATATTGTTATGCATGATTCTGATTCCTCTGAGCATGATAGTCCCACCACCTCGAGTGAGGTGGAGCATTTGCATGATACTGAGCATGATTTGCATGATATGGGTGCTGAATCTGATTTTCATGATAACAATAATTTGCATGAGTTGCATGTGGAGCCTAGTAGTGATAATTTGCATGATTATCAACTTGCTAGAGATAGGAGTAGAAGGGCTATCAGGAGAACTGCTGATAGTATGCCTGATTATGCTTTCATTGTGCATGATACTTCTATGTTTGCATTTTCTGTGTTTGAATCCCTAGAGCTGAATGAACCCAAGACCTACCGTGAAGCCTTAGGTTCCAAAGAGTCTCAGAAATGGATTAGTGCCATGAAAAGTGAGATGGACTCTTTGAGAGTGAACCAGACTTGGACCCTTGTACCTAGACCTCCCAACTGTTCGGTAGTTGAGTGTAAGTGGTTGTTTAAGGTTAAGGAAGAACCTAGTGATGTTAGGTTTAAGGCTAGGTTGGTTGCGAAGGGGTTTACTCAAAAAGAGGGGGTAGATTATGCAGAAATCTTTGCTCCTGTTGTTAAATTCACCACTATTCGTATGATGCTTGCTTTAGTTGCTCACCATGACTGGGAAATGAAACAGATGGATGTAACTACTGCATTTTTGCATGGTGAATTGGATAAAACAATTTATATGACCCAGCCTGAGGGCTTTGTGGATCCCAAGAGAAGTGAGCATGTCTGTTTGCTTAGGAAGGCTTTGTATGGCCTGAAGCAATCCCCTAGGCAGTGGAACATCAAATTTGATAAATGCATGATATCTTTGAAGTTCCAGAAATCTGTTTGTGATCATTGCCTGTATTTCAAAAATACTTCTTCTGTGCCTGTATTTTTGTTACTCTATGTGGATGACATGCTGATAATTAGTCCTTCTCTGAATGCTATTAAAGATGTGCAGAAATGTCTTTGTGCGAATTTTGCCATGAAAGACCTAGGTGATGCCAAGAGGATCCTAGGCATAAACATTGTTAGGGATAGGAGTAAGCGTACTCTTACTTTGAATCAGATTTCTTACATAGAAAAAGTTTTGAGTAAATTCAATATGTTGTCTGCTTCTCCTGTTAATGTCCCTATGGCATCTCACTTTGTGTTAAGTAAGGACCAGTCTCCCAAGACTGCTCCTGAAATTGAGAAAATGAAATCTGTGCCTTATTCCAGCGCAATAGGGTCGGTGATGTATCTTATGGTTAGCACTAGACCTGATATTGCATATGCGGTTAGTTGCTTGAGTAGATATATGTCCAACCCTGGTTTGCCCCATTGGAATGCTCTTAAGTGGTTGCTTAGATATCTGATTTCTACTGTGAAGCATGGATTAATTTTCTCTAAATGTGCTAGTGGTATTGAATTGATTGGTTATGTTGATTCTAACTATGCAAATGATAGAGATAACAGGAAGTCGACCACTTCTTATGTTTTTACTTTGTGTGGCTCTTGCATTAGTTGGAAGTCTCAACTACAGCCTATTGTGGCCCTTTCTACCACTGAGTCCGAGTATGTTGCAGCCACAGAAGCGTTTAAGGAAGCCATCTGGCTCAAACGCCTTGTCTCCGAAATTGGGTTTCTCAAAAAGGGAGTTACCATTTTCTCGGATAGCCAATCGGCTATCCAACTTTGCAAAAATCCTGTATTTCATGATAGAACTAAGCATATTGATGTTAGGTTCCATTTCATACGTGATATTGTTGATGCAGGTGGAGTCAAGCTGTGCAAGATCCCGTCGGAGTTTAACCCCGCGGATATGGGTACCAAGTGTCTTTCTGCTGAGAAGCACTTGTCCTGTAAACGCGTGTTAAACTTTGACTGTGGATAACTGTGGGTTGCCTAATAAAGTGTTTGCCCGTTGTGTCTGTTGATATTCCGGGTGACCCGGCGATGATGAGTCTTGTCACAACCTTGTATTGATACTCTACACCACCTAGGACCAATAAGGTGGAGAATGTTGGAGGTATTGGTCCTACCGAGGCCTCCCTTCCACTTTATTTGTTGAGGCTTGCACCCTATTGTTTTACTCCCACTTTGGTACCTTTACCTTGGTATTTTATCTGATCAATAACATACCTATTTGAGGGTTGACTTACCCACTTGGCTGGCCCCTCTGTGTTCTGTCCGCTGCATACTCCATTTGTCTTGGTCTTGCTTGTGACTTTCCTTTGTCTAAGATGCATGTGAGTGTCTTTTGTATTGACCTCACCCGTGACTTCCTTGGCAGCCTATTAATAGTCTTTGCTTCTTCCTTGTGAGCCTCAGCCTGCGAGAAACACTTCTATTGAGAGCAGTGCTCTCCTTCTCTTTCCCTTTGTGTGAGAACTGAGAGGGACTTAGTGGTTGAGCTAAAAACCTTAGTGTGTGCTATAGCCTCCTCCTAAGTGTGGTGTGTGAGAGTGTGTGTTGAAAGACCTGAGCCGGAGACGGAAGAAACGATCCTTACATAAAGAAACAAGAAATGTGTTACGGAGTATCTTTTACGTAAGTGTTGTTGTTTATAAGATAATACATATTGTGTGTTGTATACCTATCACAAACATTATATTGTAGGAGAGGATTCAATCAAACATGTGCTTTGTATTCCAACGTGCAGGCAGGAAACGGGGATGAATGGCTTCTACAAAATTTCCTCTCCATCTCTGAATAAATTCACGAATTCCCTCGTCCCCATGTTCTTTGAGTATAAATTCCACAACCCGCTTCCCATGTGGTCCATGCCCAAACATTGATTCCTTTGACTGTTCAGAAGAAACACTCTCGTCACTTTGTACAACTAAATCACTCGCAGTAGAGATATTCCCATTTTCTGATACAACTGGATTACATATGATGTCAGTATTGGACTCTTGATTATTATTATTATTATTATTATTATTATTATTATGATCTGAAACAACAAAATCTGGTGGGGTGTGTTTCTTATTCTGGCTAGAACCATCAACATCTTTACCAACAAAAAGTGGTATTCCAATCTCTTCAGCTATCTTCTCCTTGTATCTTTCACCAGCAGCATGAGCAATTTCGTGGCAGTCCACACAAAGGAGAACAAGATTATGGTATCTGTAACTGTTAAAGTGTTCCGGGAAGTGCTTTATGTAGCACAAAGGTATAATACGGTATCTTAAGTAACGGTCACCTTCACCACATCGAACACACACATTTTTCTTATTTTCATAACACAACTCCTTCTCCTTATCCTCTGGACGTCGTTTGGGTTCAAACAGAAGCATTATAGCAGGAGGGTCCTCTTCAACAAGTTTTGCCAAACTCTTCTTTAGATACCTGCAATAAGCTTACTAGTTAATATACTTCGTATAACCTATGTTGATAAAGGTGTTAGTCCCACCTCGAAAAAAAAGCGAGAATGATGAGTTGATAAGACAATGGTTGAACTAGCTAAGTAGCTAACAGAATGGATTCAATGTTAAAGTATGGTTTGGCTCAAAGAATTTCAATACAATCCTGATTTCTATCATAGTAAAGAAGGTTTAGCCCAATTTTGTTTGTCTAGTTGTCTGTCCGAAATGGAAGTGACCAATTGGTTAGATTCGAAATGGTTCAGTCGTCCACTTAAAGGGAGGGGAGATTTAGAGATTCATACGTAGTATTGAATAAACTAAAAAGAGAGTGCAGTGAATCCAGTGATAAATAAGATTTTGAGTCGAGACTCATGTTCCAAGTCTAATATGCTGCCAGGCTTGTTTTAAAAAAGTGTATGAAATTTGTACTAACCACTCGAGTTTTCTACGGCCACAGAAACTTAAAAACCGACCATCACTTGTATAGATCCTACAGTTGTCATAGACTGGAGATTTGCAATGCTGTGTTTTGTCAAACAGCTCTTGAAGAGCCTTCCGAGCCAGAGACGATTTTGCGGATTTATTTCTAACCACAGATCTGTCGGCTACTTCCAAGCTACTTTCAGATAACAAAGCAATATTATAGGCGAAGAGAGGACAACTTCCATTAGCACCTAAGCATTTCTGAAGGATTTCAAGAAGGCTATCCTCATCCTCACCTACTTCATCTTGAAATAAGTGACTCATAAAGTATTCCATATGACTACAAGCTAGAGATGATGGAAATTGAAATGATGATATGTGATACACACTTGGTTGGGATTGAGATATGATTTTGCGTATATCTCTAACATCTGTAGGGGCTTTAGCTGCTAGTGCAACAAGTGCTTGATCAGATAAAACATATCTTAAACTCTCGTCATGAACTCGAGCCTAAAAGAACATCAAATTATATTATGAAGTTAAAATGAGATTATGTATGTCCAACTATGAAAACCATAACACGTGAATTAACAGATAAAGAAACCAGTGACTGAAAATAATAGTAGTATACTCATGAGTCATGACTCACCATAATATCTCTCCATGCACACAGTCTGCTCACAAGGTCATGAAACTAAATGCCAAATCGAACATAAAAGATATAAGGTTAATAGCATTTAGTGGTATCTAACAAACTCTTCCAATTAAAGATTGAAACATTAAAAATTTTAATCACACGACTATTACACTCTATTTACAATTTTTATTCCAGGCTTTCATTATTGCCCCTGTTGGTTCATTACCATGATTTTGTGTCAGTTTTGGTCCTTTTCAGTTTTTAAAGTGGCAAAAATTGAAAGAATTGCAGAATTTGGCACTTGATTGATTAGAGAGACCAGAAGTGGAAAAAATAAAAAAACTCTACATTTGTGAACCCAAAGTTGAAAAATGAACGCCCTAGACAAAAAATTGGAATGACTTAAATAGTCGTGCGGCTAAAAGTGGAAGATTTTCTTAACACTGAAAGTATAAGACCTTTGCATTGACAAAGTTGGAAGGGAGATTTCCTTGGTACCGATGACATCGAGAAATTATTGACGAAGCAGCAGAGTATCCCGGATATGCTTCAATCACTTTTGAGAATAGTTGCAAACAAGTTGCATTGGAACGACTAGTGGCCTCAAGAACAAAAGTCAATTTGTTTTTGAGACATGGTGAACTTTCTGTGCATAAAGAAGCAAGTAAAGAAGCAACCTATAGATAGGAAATGTGAAATTCCTAGGATATATTCATATAAATAAATAAATTTAGAATACCTAAATCATGTATCTTCAGCTCCTTATAAACACAACACGCAATGTACATCAAATAGTGTGAATCCTTTTTAGCATAATGCAGCATTTCTTCTGGTAGAGGACGTTGCCTCCAATCTTCTCTCTGTCATTTAAATCTTCAAATATTGTAAGCTGTTTTAACATGTTACACCATGTAGTTCAACAATTTTCATTATAATAACTGAATTGTGTGACCCTGACTCAATAATGAATTATTATATCACATACAAATGCCCATTTACCCAATCCAATATGGGAATGAAACGATATGGTTTATTTTGTGCGAGAAAGAGATTGCAATAACTGAACCTTGAACCTTACTCGCAATTGTTTATTTGTAATGACACCACAATAAGTTTTCAACAAGTATGCCAATGAGTTCTGCGGTTTAGACAAAACATGACATGCCTGCAATATGAAACATTGAAACCTTTATAAAACCACAAGGAGCAGTAATCTACTAATCTTGACGGCTAGAAAAACTTTAAGGTGGTTATATTTTTTTTTTGAAAATTTTTACCTTTGCAGTGTCAAATAGGTTAACAACATAAATATGAAAATCTCTTTGAAGCCAGAGAACATCATTATCAGCTGCATGGAATACCTAATGCACAAACAAAGATAATCAGTGAAAAAAGGCATACTAGTTTCATAAAAAAAGGGCAAAGCTAAAAATCCAATAATAAACGAAGAATCAAACACACAAAACCTTAATGGCCTACAACATTACATCAAGGATCAATCCGGGATCAAATTTTTGGGGAAAATCAATAGATCAATTTCAGATATTTTAATGAACATGTTTTATTTATAACCCGCATTCCCGCAATAACAACAACAACAATAACATTACCCCAGTGCCGCAAAGGCTCTCACCTATGGTGGGGTAAGGGGGTTCGGATGTACGTAACCATACCCCTGTACTAAAGCACAGAGAGACTGTTTCCGGATGACCCATGATGAAAATTGCATCGAAAATTTTGCATGAACTGACGACTGCTTCATAAGAAAGAAGTGTGCACAATTTAGTGAGTCATTTTGTTTTGTTCCATCACATTCCCAAGCCATAAAATAGTGAGTCTTAGGCTATTGGAATTGATGGAAATTTATAACCCGCACATATGTGGAATTTTAAAAAATAGTCAACTTTGACTCTTTCATAATTTCCAATGTAAACACACGCAAAGAAAGACAATTCTCTTTACATATAAATTCTCAGTTATATACACAGTCTAAACGAATTACCTTACAAATCCCTGGATCAGCAAATATAGGCCGAAGGATGCCCATCAAGTCATGGAGGGCTATTGCATCAACAAGATAATCCTCCCTCTTTGTTGATATCTATTTCGCCCATCCAAAGCCAACATCAGAACTTGTATATATGAGAAATACATATGAGAATGGTTCGGTTCAGGTTAGAATGGCTCTTCCGATGAACTATGAGAATGACGCAAAGTGGTGTAAATCGAGGTTCATAGAGTTTACATGTTTTTTCACAATAGCAGAAAAAAATCACTTCATTTAAAAAAATGACTCCATGATTTTTCATTTATGAGAATGCATCTTTCGATTTAGAAAATGCACAATTTTAAAATTTATTGCTCCATATTCATTTTCATTTCTCTCCTTAGGTCATTTCTTATTTGATCCAAATTCTATACATATGTATAATATATATAGCTTATGGTGTACAAAATAGAATGTAAAAAAAGTCAATATGTGAACCTGAACTAAGCAGGTCAAACCTAAGAAGGATCTCACACTATCATGCTCCACATCTACACCAAATATCCTTTCCCCACTCAACACTTCAGCCAACTCCTGCAACTGTGACCCGGTTTCCACCCAAACATACGAACCACGGTTCTTTAATTCATCCAAATTCTCATTATAATTCTCCAAAGCCTTCACATTCGGCTCCTTCAGCAATGCCGAAATCTCTGCCATGTATGGATGCAAACTCGTGCATTTCTCTATCAAACACACCAAATTCATATTACACACTCGTAGTTGCTAGAGTTCTAAATGAGACAAGTAAATAATCTTGAAACAAATGAACTAATGGGTGAAAGTTGTTCCTTTTAAGTGTGATCTGTCCTAAGTGCCTATATGTATTTAGTTGAGTGATCCAATCCAATTCTGTATTGGCGCAACTCAAGTGACCAAATGCACACAATTAAGCAAAATTTAATGATTGCACGAGTTCTATGAGATACTCTATCCAGGCCTTATAAACTCATATGTTTCTAGTTTCTCCTTGATCCTAAATATCGAGATGATTAACAGTACAAAACATTAAAGTTTAGTTTTTACAGCAACAAATGAAACAATATAGAGTTATGGCGGTTACCGGCGGTGGAGTTGTTGGCGGGATGGAGGCTGAGGTGTTGGAAGTGAGAATAAGAGTTATCGGCCAAGACGCGTTTGAAATCGTACTGAGGTTTGGGTTCTGCTCTGAGATAACACGGAGGAGGTGATGACGAAGGATTTCTACGACTTCGTCTTTTACGATGATGAACTTTGGACGCTAAGAAAATGTAGATTGCAAGCGTGACGCAAGAGGCGAGTGTAAGAGCTGCTACCTTCACTCTGTCTCCCTTCTCCATTGTATATTCGTATCAGTGCTCCCGCATGATCTGCTGATTTGTTTCAATACGGGCATAAAAGCTTTGACTTCAGAAATTGATGGTAATCACGGAATTATCAATAGTTTACTTTTTGAAAGATAGACACTTTTTTAAAAAAAGGTAATCCCTTTTTGGAATTTTATCCAACAAAAAATGTCTACTTTTTACTGTATTACGGAGTATATGCAATTATGCATGAAATAAAATGCTTATTGTGGATGTAAAACTTTTATTTAGAAATGACTAATTGACTTGGACCGTATGCTAGAAGTCGTTGGAGTTAAAGTCAACCAGTAAATGTCAAATGGAATTATGCACCATTTCAATTTAGAGCAAGACAAGATAGTTTTTGGGGAAAAGGGGCAAAAAAACCCTAGAATTGTCACTAAAGGATATTCAAGCCCATGAACTTATTTTTGGAGCATAAATCCCTCTATTCCATTAAAAGAGAGCAAATGCCCCGTTCTCTAACGGAAATAGGTAACGGCTTCTGCCATGTGAGAATTTGAGATGCCAAATACACCTTAAATGGTCACCCAAGCACATCCAAGTCTCTTTTTTTGTGTGTGTGAAAAAAATGTCATAAATAAACATGGGGCAACTTAACTAACTAAATGTCTAACTACTGAGTTGGATGTTTTTTTACTGGATTGAATTTTTTTGGTCTGGTGTAATTTGGTCTGATCGGTTTTAGCCTGATCTAATATGTTATAGAAATCTTTACTTGAATTTATTTCGGTCCCAAATCAGAAGAGATCCGACCCGATCCGACCTGATCAGACATAAACAGACCAAACCAAGATGATTATAAAATACATAGAGACTAGACATCTGCCATATAAGAAAAGTTCAAACCAAATCATATCTGACTAGATCAAACCAGAAAATTTCAGCCAAAAAAAAAAATCTTAATCTAGTCTAGTGTATAATGCTATTTTAATATATACTATGTATTACTTATAATACGTATATTATAGCTTAAATCTAGTCCCAATGAAACTTTTAATATAATTTCTGAATATGTATATTTTCATATTAACTTTTGTTTATAATCTAGTTATAACTAATTTTAATAATTTATTGTTAAAAACACTAAATTTCCTTTCAAATTATTGTAAATTATATCTTCTCGATTTGTACAATATATCTTCTATATGTAAAAGGGGCAAAAACATTATTGTATGATATAGAAGATACAATAGTTTTCGTTCACTATTAATTATTTATAATATACCACTAAAAATGTATGATAAGTCGAGAAGAATATTGTACAATAATTTGGAACGGATTTTATTATTTTTAATAATAAATGAATATAAACTAATTATATATGGATTATACTATATAAATATTCCCTCTGTCGCGTAGAAAAGTTCCCACGCAATTTATGATATTTAACTGGTCATAAAGTTAACCGATCCTTGTTCGTAATTAGATTTTTGTTAGTAAATAAAATTTACATATTAAGAAACTACATTAAAATTTTAGAAAATCGCAAAAGAAAAATCAAATTTGATAAAAGTCGAATATATAGGGAAAGTTCCCGAAATAGGACTAAAACATTTTGATAATTCCAAAATAGGACTAACATGTTTTTTATTCCCAAAATAGGAGTAATTACTGTCAAGTGTGGAAAATACTGTCATGTTTGAAGTCTGGCATTGCCAAAACATGACAGTAATTAGTCCCATTTTGGGAATAAAAACATGACAGTCCTATTTTGGAATTTTCAAACTTTTTTAGTCCTATTTCAGGTAATATCTCAATATATAAAGTAAAAGATTAAAAAGATTTATGTTGGCAATAGAATAGCGGACGAGAACCTTTGAATGAGACGGAGATAGTAATATAAAATAACATTTAAGACAATAGCAGATTAAGATTTTTTTATTTAGACTGAAACTTTCTGGTTTGATCTAGTCTAATATGGGCTGGTCTTATCCAATAGATGTTTGGTGTCTATGTATTTTATAATTGTTGAGGTCTGATGTGGTCTATTTATGTCTGATCAAGTCTGATTTGTTCTGATCTGGGACTGAAATAAGTTCAAATAAAAACTTCTAAAATATATTGGATCGCACTAAAATTCATCAGACCAAATTACATCAAATCAAAAAACTTGAATACAGTAAAAAACATTTTGAATCTATAGTTCAAAATTTAGTTAGTTAATTTTTCTCATGTTAATTTAAGATATTTGATCACAAAAAAATTATAAGCTTGGATCGGATGTGTTGTAGACCTGTAGTGACAATTTGGAGTGTATTTGTCTTTATTTCAAACTCTCACATGGGCTGTACGTTAGCTACGTATATTCACCGTTATAGAAGGGGGCATTTGCTCTCTTTTAATGGAATAGAGGGATTTATGCTTCAAAAATAAGTTCATGGGCTTGAATACCCTTTAGGGACAACTTGGGGGGGGGGGGGGGGGGGTGCCCCTTTTCCCTAGTTTTTGAGAGATACTCATGTAATTTGTATTACCTCCATTTTTAAATAAATGCAATAATGCACATTTTACATTTTACATACACAACTTTGTATACGAAAGTATGAATTGGAGAATAATGGCTTACCCTATTGGAATATTACCTTATATTTATAATAAAACTGAGTTATGGAATATTACAAAGTAATCCCTAAATATTACATTATTACACTCCCTCAATTTGTGCAGGGGAAATCACGTGCAAATTGGAACGTAAAAATTCAAAACGCTGACTAGACAAATTCTTGGTGAAGATATCAGCTAACAGCAATTGTGTAGAAATGTGCTTCACCACAAAATCTCCATGTGTCACTCGTTCACGAACAAAGTGATAATCAATTTTAATATGATTACTCCGATCATGCTGAATGGGGTTAACGGCCAAATATGAAGTTGAGACATTATCACAGAGAAGATTTACATGGGCCGAAATAAAAATACCCATGTCAGTGAGAAGTGATCTGATGAAGAGGGTGTCCTGGACAGTGTAAGCAATAGCCCTGTACTCGGCCTCATCAGAAGATTTCGACACTGTAGGTTGTTTCTTGGATCACCAGGAAATTAAATTAGATCCTAGAAAAACCACATATCCTGTAGTAGACCGCGAACTGTCTGGACAACCCGCCCAATCTGCATATGAGTAAGTTGTAACCACCGAAATGTTTTTGTCTGCCCGTAACCATAGACCATGCGTGCTGGTACCCTGCAGATACCTGTAAATTCTCTTGATAGACAGAAGATGAGTAGTACGTGGAGCATGCATAAACTGAGACACAAGGTGTACATCATAAGTAATATCGGGTCTAGTAATAGTGAGATACTGAAGAGCACCTACCATATTGCGGTACTCAGTAACATCAGATAAAAGTTCCCCATCTGTGAGAGAGAGGGTAGTACGTGAAGGTAAGGGGGGTACAGACTGGTTTGACAGTATGAAGATGAAAGCGACGTAAGAGATCAGATATATATTTAGCCTGTGATAAAAATAAGCCCTTAGGTGTACGTTGTGCCTAAACACCCAAGAAATAATGAACATCCCCCAAATCATTCATGGCAAACTGAAGTGACAATGTGTGTATAACAGAGGAAACAAAAGAGGTTGAAGAACCAGTAATCAAAATATCATCCACGTATAAAAGAATATAAACCACCTGAGACTGAGTGCGATAAAATAAACATGGATGAATCAGACCTGCTTTGTGTGAAACCACGACTCAATATGAAACCACTAAAATGGTGAAACCAAGCTCTAGGGGCTTGTTTGAGACTGTAAAGGCCCTTACGAAGGCGGCAAACATGATTAGGAAAAGATGGATGAACAAAACCTTGAGGTTGCCTCATATAAACCTCCTCAGTTAAATAACCATGCAAAAGGCATTTTTCACATCTAACTGACGTACAGACCAACCCAAAGAAACAACAATAGACAACACAAGACGAACAGAGGTGGGTTTAACAACAGGACTAAATGTTTCAGTAAAATCAATGCCTGCTTGTTGTTTAAACCCTTGAGCCACTAAACGGGCTTTATGCCGCTCAACAGACCCATCATAATAGTATTTCGCCTTATAAATCCATTTACAACCAAGCAACCAACCACATTTTTAGTAAGGTCCCAAGGTACCAAATCTCAAGTCCTATTATTAATCAGCCATGACAGCCCGCCAAACAAAACTTTTATTTGCCTGTGTAAAACAAGTAGGATCGTCCGGGGGAGTAAAGGCATTTAAAGTGAAAATATTTTTGGGTTTAAAAATGCCATCTTTTGCACGGGTGCGCATCGGGTGGACATTAAGAACGGGAGAGAGGCTGAAGGAACCTACAGGTGACTCAGTGGAACCGGAGGGACTGATAGGTGAGGTGAGGGAGCTAGGGGAAGACGGCTGGGTCTCGGGGTGACGTAACAGGAGGTGTTTGGGATGAAGAAGAACGGGCATGACTGTGAGATATGGTCTGGGGAGTACTGGAGCAAGTCGGGTGGAGGTAGGAGTGGTTATTGCAGGTCTGGGATGGCTGCAGTGGGGAAGATGATGTAACAGGGGTGTGGGTACTGGCAGCAGGGGTCTGGGTTTGCGTAGTGGTGTCAGGCTGATTTGTGGGTAACTGGGAGGTGGCTTGTCGGCAGAACCGGTATGACCTGGGGAGTAACTGACCGAGGCTGAGGTGTGGGTTGGACGGAGGAGGATATCCAAGAGGAGGGCAAAACCGGTGGTACTGAAGAGGAAGATGATGACACCAAAGAGGGATAAGGTAAAACATTTTCATGGAAAACAACATCCCAACTAACATAAACTCGCCCGGTGGAAGGAGACAAACATTGATATCCTTTATAGCCTGGTGCATACCCAAGAAAGACACAGTGTATAGAACGTGATGATAGTTTATTGTGAGAGGAAGCAATAAAATTAGGAAAGCAGGAACAACCAAAAACACGCAAGAAATCATAATCTGACAATTTATTAAAAAGTTTTTGATATGGTTAAATTCCATGCAAAATGGGTGTAGGTAAACGATTGATAATAAATGTGGCAGTATAAAGTGCATCTACCCAGG